TTTACTGTTCAATATTTAATAAATCTAAAAAATTGAAATTTTAAAAACTTTATATGATAACTAATAAAATTGTTTTTTGATGACGATGAAAACTGAATTTTATCTAATTAACTAATATGAGCAATTAATTGGCATAGTTCTGTTGCAAATTTGGAATAGCATCAGTTTTGAGAAGTAGTTCAACCGTTTTTGCAATAATTGCGGTCAGTCGTACGATAAACTTGACTTTATTCTCAACTTCCACTCGTTTGTTGGAAAATGTTCAATCTGTCAAAACCATTTTAACTGCATCGTTTTCTCACCTTAACAAGAAAATGATTGACATAGTACCATCAGCGAAATACAACCTATGTTAGGAACAACCGGTGATAGACAATAAATGACAAAGGCAAACTATTTTAAACTACAAGATAACTGCGAAACTGAGAAACTTTATTTTGCTCCTACTCGTTGGTAACTCTGTGGTTTACTTTCGTTGCTGCACAAAAAACTGGCTTTTCTTTTTTTATTGAAATCCTAACTGCAGCTATATTTCAGAAGTTGTAAGGTCTTTGTCAACAGATGCATTCCCAAGAGGATCAACCCCAGCAGTTGCGTCGTCTGTTGGCGAGAGACACTGCTTCAGTGTTCTTAACCCTTATATATTTTTTAAAAATCTTTTGGGTACGCATGAATTTTATGAAGTGTTCCTATTTTATTTATGTCTATAGATATTTTTTTCTAGCAGAAGTCTCACTGAGTGCTTTTTATATCTTTTTTAAACTAAAAGCTCGTTGCTTCTCATTTTTGGCAGATCAAAAATCTTATACTTCAACAATAAACCGCAGTGTTTGAATATGCCAGTTTCATTTGATATTTTCAATTTTTCAAGTTAAGTTTCTACGCGCTTTGAAGATAAATTTTCTAACCGCTTTTTTGATTATTATCATTAATTTTTTCTGACTTTTAAACAAACTTTTTTTTATTTTTTAGTTTCTTCTTTTGTGGATTAACAAAGTCTTAGCAATTCAAAGTTTCAAAAAATTTTCTGTTTTTGATAAAAATCTTTGCTTTAAAATAAGATTTTTTCTCGTATACAGAAAGTATAATCTTCAAGCAGTGTTTCTTTCTTTCGGTTTTTAAGATGAAATGTTACTGCAAATTAAAACTATGCAATCGTAAAATAATAATTTTTTTTTTGTTTTTTTTTTCTTCTTGCTCTCAAACCAATTTTTTTGGTTTTTAAGGCTACAGAAGTCAAAAAAGTTACTTATACGTATGAAGAACTCGTGAGTTTACTAAGCGTTGTAATAAAAATGATTGTTCATTTGAGCTCAGCCGCATCAAATGATGAAACGTCACTATTCAGTCTAATATTTTGTTGTAAAGAATTTTAGAAATGAGTAATGACTGGCCAATTTTGATGTGAAATAAAAATTTTATAAAAACAGTAGTTACTGTTGTATATTTTAATGTTTCACCGTATCCATCGTTATGCCTTAAATTTGAAAGTTGCTTTTTAACCAAAGTAGATCTTTTAAGCAATAGAAACTTAATGATTACTTGCCTTTCAGAAATCATTTTATCAATTTTTACGTCCAAAATACAACTGTCGTCTAGTGATACATCTTCTCTCCAAATGTACAGCCAAATGGTTCTGCACAAAAATAGAAATTTTGGTTTTATTTTTCAAAAGTGCTGCCAAAAAACAACAGTAGTTTGTTCAAGTTCACGGTTAATTTCTACAATTTTTATTATAGTCTTAAACTGCCAACGTAAAATTTTGTTCTGTTAAGGTTTTTTTGCAAAAATTAACTACCATTTTGAAGCAAGAATATAATTGTATGCTGCAGAAATTTAAATAAACATTACTTCTGTTTAAATTTTAACAAACTAATAGTAAGATGATAATATTTTTTTAATATCTTACATGCTAAGATATGACACATCGATAGAGAAAATGTAGCTGAAATTTTGAGTAGGGTGAAACTGATTTTCTAAGCCGTTCAGTCAAAATCTTGATTCCGAGTTGATGAAGTAACGTCTTAACCATCTTGACTGTCTGCTTGAAGATTAAAATTGTATATCTGAGAGAACTAAAGCTTTGCTCTGTCTCTGAATGCTAATTTAAGTCAAACGAACAATTAAATAAAAGACAATTTTTAAAAGGAGAACAAACAACAGAGATCAGAGTCAAGTTAAAAATAAGTATACAGTTTTTTGGTTAGCTTAGCTTTTTATATGTATGTTAAATGTGTCAACAAATAATCAACAACTTTTTTGATGTTCTTTACAGTTAACATTTATTGTTCTTATATTCCAAAAGCTTTTGATGTATCAAACCAACAATTACAACAGCTATAGAGTACCGGAAATTGATAAAAGTTTTTCGATGATTTGGAACATTTGATACATCAATGTAACACAGAAAAAAAACAACAAAATTTTGTTAGTTTAAGAAAAAAATAAAAAAAAACTAAAAAAGCAAAAATATTTATATGAAATATAAATGAGCATTGATTATCAAAAAAAAAAGAACAAAGATAATGT